AGCACACCCAAGACACATGACGAATGTGTGTTGACCTAATGAGAGGAGACGAGATGCAATATGGGATGCTGGAGGCAGGACGACAGGCACGGCCAAGTCAAGGGTAAAGTTGTCAACTGTAGAATATAGGTCACAAGTTACACCCAACACACACACACACACACACACACACACACACACACACACACACACACACACGGGGGGGGGGGGCTGTTAGCCTGGTGGATAGCGCGCAGGACTCGTAATTCTGTGGCGCGGGTTCGATTCCCGCACCAGGCAGAAACAAATGGGCAAAGTTTCTTTCACCCTGAATGCCCCTGGTAGCTAGCAGTAAATAGGTACCTGGGAGTTAGTCAGCTGTCACGGGCTGCTCCCTGGGGTGAATGTGTATGGTGTGCAGAAAAAAAGTAGTAAACAGTTGATTGACAAAATCAACTGAACGAGCAAAGCTCAACCCCCGCAAACACAACTAGGTGAATACAACCAGGTGAACATACACACACACACACACACACACACACACACACTTGTTAGTTAGGGGAGAAGGTGGTGGAGGCCAAGACCATCAGTAGTTTCAAAGCGTTATATGACAAAGAGTGCTGGGAAGACGGGACACCACGAGCGTAGCTCTCATCCTGTAACTACACTTAGGTAATTACACTTAGGTAATTACACACACAAATTCTCAGAGGAATTGACAGGGTAGACAAGGATAAACTATTCAACACTGTTGGTACGTGAACAAGGGGACACGGGTGGAAACTGAGTACCCAAATGAGCCACAGGGACGTTAGAAAGAACTTTTTTCAGAGTCAAAGTAGTTAACAAATGGAATGCATTAGGCAGTGATGTAGTGGAGGCTGACTCCATACACAGTTTCAAGTGTAGATATGATAGAGCCCAATAGGCTCAGGAACCTGTACACCAGTTGACTGACAGTTGAGAGGCGAGACCAAAGAGCCAGAGCTCAACCGCCACAAGCACAGCAAGGCTCACGTACACCCAGGGGCAAGCATTCAGCAATACCCAAGAGGGAGTCGCCGTGTCCTTGGAGAGCCGGAGAGGAAGATCCCAATTATAAGCAGCCAAACCTCTAACATACACGAGTCAAGGGCGGCCCTGTCCTCCAACGCCTCCAGCCCCTTAATATCCTCCCCTGCACTGTCACTCCCCCTTCATTCCATCCCCCTTTCTATCCCCCCATCGCTCCACTCCTTTCTATCCACCTCATAACACGTGTCATGTTATCTACGTGTGCTTCAGATATTAGACATATATCTAATATTATCACAATCGACTTGAGAATGGTCCAGGACGGACCGAAACGTCGTCGTCCCTTCACCTTCTAGTGTGTACTCACCTAGTTGTACTCACCTAGTTGTATTTGCGAGGGTTGAGCTCTGGCTCTTTAGTCCCGCCTCTCAACCGTCAATCAACAGGTGTACAGATTCCTGAGCCTATTGGGCTCTATCATATCTACACTTGAAACTGTATGGAGTCAGCCTCCATACACAGTGTGTGGTCTGGTCAACATGTGCTTCAGCCTACAGTTTAGACTTCTTGTCTTGTGCATGACCCTCGGTCCTGCGTGACTGAATGCCAGCATTATCCTCACTCTAATAATTAATTGAATTCCTCAGATTAGGCAAAATTGTAATTAATTTTGTCAATAAAGATGTTAATAATAAAAAATAATCTACAAGAACTCCATCTGCCTGAGAAAGCCCGCGAGAGTGTGTGTGTAGGGAGGTCATCCCAGCCCGGCCTCCTAAGGTGCCCAAACGTCCAGAAACAGTCGTACTAAAGTGCCCTACTCCTAACCAACCAGGGGCCAGATTCACGAAGCAGTTACGCAAGCACTTACGAACCTGTACAAGTACTTTAAAGACCTGCTCGTCCTCTGGTGTAAATGTTAATTTAAAGAGCCAGTCACCAGCCAGCTGGTACACTACACCACAGAGCCGGTCACCAGTCAGCTGGTACACTACACCACAGAGCCAGTCACCAGCCAGCTGGTACACTACACCACAGAGCCGGTCACCAGCCAGCTGGTACACTACACCACAGAGCCAGTCACCAGCCAGCTGGTACACTAGACCACAGAGCCAGTCACCAGCCAGCTGGTACACTACACCACAGAGCCGGTCACCAGACAGCTGGTACACTACACCACAGAGCCAGTCACCAGTCAGCTGGTACACTACACCACAGAGCCAGTCACCAGACAGCTGGTACACTACACCACAGAGCCAGTCACCAGACAGCTGGTACACTACACCACAGAGCCAGTCACCAGACAGCTGGTACACTACACCACAGAGCCGGTCACCAGACAGCTGGTACACTACACCACAGAGCCGGTCACCAGCCAGCTGGTACACTACACCACAGAGCCGGTCACCAGACAGCTGGCCAGTCACCAGCCAGCTGGTACACTACACCACAGAGCCGGTCACCAGACAGCTGGTACACTACACCACAGAGCCAGTCACCAGTCAGCTGGTACACTACACCACAGAGCCGGTCACTAGACAGCTGGTACACTACACCACAGAGCCAGTCACCAGCCAGCTGGTACACTACACCACAGAGCCAGTCACCAGCCAGCTGGTACACTACACCACAGAGCCAGTCACCAGCCAGCTGGTACACTACACCACAGAGCCAGTCACCAGCCAGCTGGTACACTACACCACAGAGCCAGTCACCAGCCAGCTGGTACACTACACCACAGAGCCGGTCACCAGACAGCTGGTACACTACACCACAGAGCCAGTCACCAGCCAGCTGGTACACTATACCACAGAGCCAGTCACCAGCCAGCTGGTACACTAGACCACAGCGCCAGTCACCAGACAGCTGGTACACTACACCACAGAGCCAGTCACCAGCCAGCTGGTACACTAGACCACAGCGCCAGTCACCAGACAGCTGGTACACTACACCACAGAGCCAGTCACCAGCCAGCTGGTACACTAGACCACAGCGCCAGTCACCAGACAGCTGGTACACTACACCACAGAGCCAGTCACCAGCCAGCTGGTACACTAGACCACAGCGCCAGTCACCAGACAGCTGGTACACTACTCCACAGAGCCGGTCACCAGCCAGCTGGTACACTACACCACAGAGCCGGTCACCAGCCAGCTGGTACACTACACCACAGCGCCAGTCACCAGCCAGCTGGTACACTACACCACAGAGCCAGTCACCAGCCAGCTGGTACACTACACCACAGAGCCGGTCACCAGACAGCTGGTACACTACACCACAGAGCCAGTCACCAGCCAGCTGGTACACTACACCACAGAGCCAGTCACCAGCCAGCTGGTACACTACACCACAGAGCCAGTCACCAGACAGCTGGTACATAAAGAGGTTCACAGTTCTCCCAGGCCTCGCAAAAAGTTCAACCATCGTTTAACTAGCTCAACACCACCACCTTTTGATATCTCCACACGCTATCCTTAATGTAGCCTTGCACAACATCCTGCCACTGCTATCTTACGTCCCTATCCCGCTAGACCATCTCCGAGCCTTTGGCTGCACTATCAGGCTGGACCTATCCCTTGTCATTCGTCTATCTCACTATCCTGATGGATCAGTATCAGTATCTCTGTTGAGACCCATCGTCTGTCTAGAAGATACCTTCATTATACGTTTTCTTAACTCATTATCCCTAAATCAAAAACAACTTTCTTCAGATCAATCAATCAATCAATCAATCAATCAATCAATCAATCAATCAATATCTATCTATATCTATATCTCTCTCTCTCTCTCTCTCTCTCTCTCTCTCTCTCTCTCTTTTATCAACATCCATGATTAAACCACTAATATTCTGGAATTGTTTATATTAACCTAATATATAAAAAAAATCCATTTTGTAGAGTATACTACCCACCAATAACAAGTTTGTGGGATTATGTGGAGGTGCTTAAGTTCTCACACAACACAATGGTTGGGTATCTAGTCTCCGGACACCATTGTTGTCTGGGATGATCTTAGAGAACATGGATTCGTAGAAGGAGTCTCAGATGCCGTTTTCGGAAAACAGTGTGATTAATGAATTGAGAAATTGAATGTACGTTGTATGCTACTTGGTAGAAATAAACGAATATACATTATACACTAGTTGACTAGACCACACATTAGAAGGTGAAGGGACGACGACAACGTTTCGGTCCGTCCTGGACCATTCTCAAGTCGATTGTGACTCTCTCAAGTCGATTCTCACAATCGACTTAAGAATGGTCCAGGACGGACCGAAACGTCGTCGTCTCTTCACCTTCTAGTGTGTGGTCTGGTCAACATACTTTAGCCACGTTATTGTGACTCGTCGCCTGCATATACACTAGTGTTACACCTATAGTGCTCGTAGGAGAGGTATGTCTTACAAGATCATACACTAAGAGGGATGTCTTACAAGATCATACACTAAGAAGTATGTCTTACAAGATCATACACTAAGAAGTATGTCTTACAAGATCATACACTAAGAGGGAGGTCTTACAAGATCATACACTAAGAGGGAGGTCTTACAAGATCATACACTAAGAGGGAGGTCTTACAAGATCATACACTAAGAGGTATGTCTTACAAGATCATACACTGAGAGGTATGTCTTACAAGATCATACACTGAGAGGGATGTCTTACAAGATCATACACTAAGAGGGAGGTCTTACAAGATCATACACTAAGAGGGATGTCTTACAAGATCATACACTAAGAGGGAGGTCTTACAAGATCATACACTAAGAGGGAGGTCTTACAAGATCATACACTAAGAGGGAGGTCTTACAAGATCATACACTAAGAGGGAGGTCTTACAAGATCATACACTAAGAGGGAGGTCTTACAAGATCATACACTAATATACATCTGCGGTAAACATACGTGAAGGAAATACTAGACAGCCAATACACCACAAATACGCCGTACCTGTAAGAGCCAAAGCTAGACTAAAGCTACACTCACAGCATTAAGGCTACCACATACCTGAAATAGATTAGCTGTCAGTTCCTGTAGCTCGTTTTCCACCTCGTCCCTGATCTTGGACAACCGCTGCACCTCTTCCTCCTTGTGTTTTAGCTCGTCCTTCACCTTCTCCAGCTGCTCCTCCACGTCTTCCAGCCTGGAGGACTGTGTTCCATTCACGCCCTCACACGTCCCGTTCACAGCGTGTCCGTTCACTTCAAGCACTTTAACTGGCGAGTGTGAGTACGAGGAGGGCGAGGTGGAGGACGTGCAGGAGGACGACGAGGACGTGGTGGACGAGGTGGAGGAGGCGTGTGACCGAGCAGACACGCTGGATATTGATTTAGTTGGAGATGAAGCAGGAGTGACCGAGATCTTCGGGGTTTCGTGTCCATTACTGACCCCATTTTCCTGTAAACGGAATTGTACTTCGCTGAGAGACAAGGCGTCGGCTGGCCCTTCCTCGCTGGAGCCATTCCGGGCAGCCTGCTCGGCCTTAGCCAGATACCCGGCGCCTTTCTGCAGCGCCTCGGCGTAGGCCTCCAAGTCCAGATTAGCTGCGTCGAGAAGCAGGCGAGAATTAGGCGCCTCCATGAGTAGCCGCGGGGAATATGGCGCTACGATATGGCCATCGGAGGTGAGCCCCCTGGAGGCCATAACGTGGCACTTAAGCGCCGTGACCTTGGCTCTCACGTCCTGACGCCAGCCGTCCACCTCAGCAATAAGGGAATCGTCTTCCTGAGGAAGCCGCGACCCCCCCAGCCCTGTCGACGTCGACACCGCCACACTCATCCCGCTCACTTCCCAGCGACCACCATCTGAAACAACAAGTAGCGCACACATTAGTTCCCGCCCGCTAACACATTGATTGATGAACATTAAGCCGCCCAAGAGGCGGCGCGGGCATCAATAACCGGCTATCAGTTGTTGTTATAGATTCAGCTACTGGGGAACAAAAGTTCCAAGTAGCACGGGCTACTTGGAACCCGAGCCCGTAGTGGACTTACCTGGCACAGGAGCGGTGCCGGCTACCAGTCTTGACTACAGTCGATATACCGAGTTCCACCCCCATGCACGCCCTTGTTAGTCCACCCCCTAAGTACACTTCTCTCTTATCTCAGTACACCCATAACACTATATGGGCTGTTAGTACACCCTGGGTACATTACCTCCTCGCTTAACCCAGCTCTCTGGCCTAAGCTCTCGTACATACCTTGAGGTTACCTTGAGGTGCTTCCGGGGCTTAGCGTCCCCGCGGCCCGGTCGTCGACCAGGCCTCCTGGTCGACGACCGGGCCTCCTGGTCGACCATACATGTGTATGGTCCCTTCACTTCACGACCCCATACTCTTGTGGCTCTCTCAATTCACCCTCAATACTCACCTGAGGCTTCCTGTCACCTTTCTACCCACACGCAGAATAACCCAGTCGTTTGTTATTTTACATTCAGCTACTGGGAATATAAAGTTCCAAGTAGCACGGGCTATGGTGAGCCCGTTGTGAACTTACCTGGCCCACGAGCGGGGCTGTAACTTGATAACCCAGTTATAAATCCCAGTATTTACATCTTAAAGGTTACAATATCTTTTGAGAAATATATATAATCCATTGATTGTTACAGCCTAATAACGTTTGAAAATAAAAGGTTTATATATTACGTTACTTCGATTAAAGAGCGTCAATGCCAAAGCAAAACTGAAACAGCAAGGAAGGAATTTGGCAAATCATAATATTTACTCCCACTTGCTTATGAAGAACATAGGGTGCAGCAGCTGGGCCAGCAGCAGGTGCTGCTTGTCTAGCGAGCACCGTGTTTACACACACACCCAAGGACACGTGGCCCTCTCCCTCGTCGTCGTTGTTGTTATAGATTCAGCTACTCGGAACAAGTTCCAAGTAGCACGGGCTATGGTGAGCCCGTAGTGGACTTACCTGGCACAGGCCCGTTTCTGTCATAATCCATGATATATTAGTGATGCACAACACCTAGTCTGCTCAGCACCGCTCCTGTGCCTGGTAAGCTACAAGCTCACCATAGTCCGTGCTACTTGGAACGTGTTCCGAGTAGCTAACAACAACCACCACCACCACCTAGTCTGCCGTTATGCACAAGACTGTGTTTGGTTTGCTCCTGGCAACACCACTCAACATTCGCTTCCAGTGTTTATAACCTTGCAATGTAGTGTAATAAAGCCACTTTATTTGTGAAGTTTTCCATATCCCATGGCAACACAGCCCTGCCAGTAAGCCTTACACCATGTCTGCAACACTCCGCCAAAGAAACTTGAGAAAAATGTCACATATCGTTCATGAAACACAAAATTCAAGGCGTTTATACCAGCTGGGTAGGACATCGCTTCGGATTCGTAGTCCTGAGGTTCCGGGTTCGATCCCCGGTGGAGGCGGAGACAAATGGGCAAAATGTTTCATTCACCTTGATGCCCCTGTTACCTAGCAGTAAATAGGTACCTGGGTGTTAGTCAGCTGCTACGGGCTGCTTCCTGAGGGTGGAGGCCTGATCGAGGACCGGGCCACTGGGACGCTAAGCCCCGAAATCATCTCAAGATAACCTCAAGATGATAGATCCCACTGGAGTTTAAACGAGAGCCGGAAAGTCAGGCGAGGCACCCAAGGCACTGGGACGGCATGGCGCCACAGAGGGAGCACGCTGCCAATGTCACCTATGACCCTAACTATGCTCTGCCACGACACCAGAGCCGCCATCCAAAACTGTGCTGCGCGCACGCGCGCACACACACACACACACACACACACACACACACACACACACACACACACACACACACACACACACACACACACACACACACACACACACACCTTACGGGAATTAAACCTCACTTCGCTGGAAGACAGAAGAGTTAGGGGGGACATGATCACCACATTCAAGATTCTGAAGGGAATTGATAGGGTAGATAAAGACAGTCTATTTAACACAAGGGGAACACGCACAAGGGGACACAGGTGGAAACTGAGTGCCCAAATGAGCCACAGAGATATTAGAAAGAACTTTTTTAGTGTCAGAGTGGTTGACAAATGGAATGCATTAGGGGGTGATGTGGTGGAGGCTGACTCCATACACAGTTTCAAATGTAGATATGACAGAGCCCGATAGGCTCAGGAATCTGTACACCTGTTGATTGACGGTTGAGAGGCGGGACCAAAGAGCCAGAGCTCAACCCCCGCAAACACAACTAGGTGAGTACACACACACACAATATGCCCTGCGTCTATAATTCTTGTAAGCCTGTGGCAGAATTATGGTTTCCTTGCCATATGTGAATAAGCATTTGTGCTGTAACCACGAGACAGAGAGAGGGGAGAGAGAAGGGGAAGAGACTGGAGGAGAAAGAGGGGAGGAGAGAGAGAGAGAGATAAAGATGGAGTAAGATAAGAGTGAGCAGAAGGACACGGACCACACACATCATGACTGACCCACCCATCACCATCACCACTCAGCGTATTAACTTCCACACCATATCTATCTCTGATACTAACATTACCCCATGGTTTATCTATGAATTCCATTAACCAAATAAATATTTAATGACCGACATTTTTCCATGTGTGTATCCAGAACTTACGTAGTTTCCCTGATATCTCCGAGTAGAATTTTTTGTTTACATGTGGTGAAATGTCACACACACACACACACACACACACACACACACACACACACACACACACACACACACACACACACACACACACACACACACACACACTGCACTCTACGGCGCCTTAGGCTGTGACTTGCCCTCAACGGTACACTACGAAACCCGTTTTGTTTCACGGCCAACCACCTCCAACATGCTCCAGAACCAACAGGTTGCTTGACTCTCGAAGCCTCGCCCTCCACTGCCAGGGGTGACACGGGGGAAGGTCGAGTATGTACTCTCAGGTTATGACACAAGACAAAAATGATTCGATAATAACGCTGACAGACCCTAAACACCAATATATAAAGGGGACCCCCCCTTTTACTCGAAATAAGGGGCCCTCCCTCTTCCACATCATTCGTGGGAAAGAAGGGTCCTCCTCCCCCCACCATTCATGGGAAAGAAGGGCCCTCCTCCCCCCATTCATGGGAAAGAAAGGGGCCCTCCTTCACAACAAAGACCCCCCCTCCCATCTCCCCCTCCTCACCCCGTGTCAATAAACTGCGAACATACCATACTGAAGTAAAAATAGACTATTACTTGCCCCCAACCAACCAAACCCCCACAACATTCTTCCACCCACAACCCCCCCCCCCGCCCCACATTCCTGCCCCCCCCCCCCCCCGCCCCCCATCACCCCCACCGACAACCTTTTGTCTCCTGGCAGACGGATGCGTGACGTCGTAGAGAAAGTCTCCTGGCTGACAAGTCCACGAGTCTAAAGGAAAAAAAAAGTGATTTTTTCCCCCACCAGAGAATATCGCCAACTATTATACATCTGTAGACATTTTTTCCTAGAGTCAATTTCATTGTAAATATGAATATTTTGCCTTATATATCGATTTATATATCCTATATATATCGATTTATATACCCTATATATACCGATTTAGCAAGTGCCCGCAGTCACTCTTATAATATTTATCAATAGTTCCCAGAAAATTATGTTTCGACATTCATGCAGTTAACATGCATTCATGGTATTGGGGGTGCTATATTAAGCTGGATTAGGGCATGGCTATACCAAAGGAAACAGAGAGTTAGTATAAATGGAATCAAGTCAGAGTGGGAAAATGTTGTAAGTGGAGTGCCTCAAGGCTCTGTCCTGGGACCTCTGTTGTTTATAATATATATAAATGATTTAGATTCAGGTTTGAGTAGCAACATTTGCAAATTTGCCGATGATACGAAAATCGGTAGGGAAATTAATTCGGAGGAGGACTCACTATCACTTCAAGTTGATCTAGATAGGGTTTTGAAATGGTCAAAGGATTGGCAGATGCAGTTTAATGCTGATAAATGTAAAGTTCTGAGGTTAGGTAATGATGATAGAGTTACAAGATACGAGCTAGATGGTGTTGTGATTGCGAAGTCGGATTGCGAAAGGGATCTGGGAGTTATGATTAGTAAGAATTTAAAACAAAAGGATCAATGCATAAATGTTCGTAATAAGGCAAATCGGACACTTGGATTTATTAATCGCAGCGTTAGTAACAAGACACCTGGTGTGGTTCTCAAGCTATATCTTGCTCTAGTTAGGCCCCATTTAGATTATGCAGTTCAGTTTTGGTCGCCATATTATAGAATGGATATAAATTCACTTGAACGTGTCCAGCGTAGGATGACTAAGTTAATTCCCCAAATTAGAAATCTTTCATATGAAGAAAGATTAACAAAGCTTAAGTTGCATTCACTGGAAAGGCGAAGAGTTAGGGGTGACATGATAGAGGTTTACAAGTGGATGAATGGACATAACCGGGGGGATATTAATAGGGTATTAAAAGTATCAACACAGGACAGAACACGAAACAATGGGTATAAATTGGATAAGTTTAGATTTAGGAAAGACTTGGGTAAATACTGGTTCAGTAACAGGGTTGTTGATTTGTGGAACCAATTGCCGCGTAACATTGTGGAGGTGGGGTCCCTCGATTGTTTCAAGCGTGGGTTGGACAAGTATATGAGTGGGATTGGGTGGTTATAGAATAGGAGCTGCCTCGTATGGGCCAATAGGCCTTCTGCAGTTACCTTTGTTCTTATGTTCTTATGTTCTTAACTCCAAATACATTTGTGTATTTTAACTGTTTGAATTCCGTTGAAGCCGACGAGCACTTACAAAAACACACCCGACAAACATTA